ACGGGAAGAGCAGCAGCACTTTGTCTTTGACTTTGCTTGCAGACAGACAATTGCCTTATATCCATATAGCATGAACTTGAAATTTTGCACTCTGTGAAATTGTGATTACGTTTTCAAGCCATCTGCGTCTTATTTATGGAATTAGTCTAGTGATTAATTATTACTAATTGTCACAATTAATTGGCAAATTATACATTTTAAATAAAAGCATTTATGCAACAGCAAGGTAATGCAGAGTACAATTTCAAATAGATGCCTATTTTACATATTTTAATGATACAAGAATAAGACAGTTGGTTTTCTAAAATGCTTGTTATCCCAAGGGAAGTTGCTGTGGCTCAAAGATGCTGCCTCTTGGGAGCAGGAGGGTCTGAGAACCTGCTGCTCTCAGTCTCTTCTCACAGAGAACAGGCCCAATCTCAGATACCTTAAGGAGCAAAAAGTCTTTATGGACAACTAAAAGGTAAATGCACAGTAGAAATTGGTTTTTCTCTATGACTGCCAGGGAAGCCTGCAGTCCAAAGAATTTGTGAGCTCACAAAAGAAATGACTTTGCAAAACAATTCATTTATTTTTTGATGATGCCAACACTCAATAATTTAGGTTTCTTTTTTTTTTTAATGTTACTGGGGAGCAGATGCTAAACTGCAAAAATTAACTGGCACTTGCATTTCAGCATTTCAAAAAGCAATCATATCCGACTTCTTTATTAAGTTTGCTGTTAAGTGAGCAAAGAAAAGAGTATTTCTTCCATTAGCAAAGCAAATAGAACATCTGTCCAAAGAAAATGCAAGACAAAAGTTGGTGAACGAAATTCATTGTGGTGGAAGGGGCAGTTCACTTGTAGGTATGGAAAATTTTGTATTCCAGTCAGGCTCGATGGTGCATACCTGCAATTCCAGCACTCAGGAAGTTGTAGCAGGAAGATTGCTGTGAATTTACAGCCAACCTAGAATACATAGTGAGACCAAAAAAAAAAAAAAGATTTTGTATTCTAGATCTTCAATTGAATGAGGCCTCAGGGTTTCTCTCTCCCTCTCTCCTTCTTTCCCTCTCTCCCTCTCTCCCTCCCTTTTTCTCTCCCTCTCCCTCTCTTTCCTTTATCTTTATTGGGAGGGAAGGAGTTAGCTTTATTTCACTTTTAGTCTTGGTTTAAGGACTAAATACCTGTTCTGAAGAAGGGAATTTCAGACTAACTTTGAGACACAGGTACTCACCTCAGATTCACACGCTAAAAGGTGAATGATCTGTGTTCCAGTTTGAGGTAATCCCAGGCAGAGTCATCCCAGAGTCAGGAGGTCAGAGCCTTTGAATACTGTCACATATTACAAGTGCCATATGATCCAGCTACTTCTTCTTTAATGCTTGTGTGTCTGTGTGTATTAAAAATCATCTTATAGAGTTTACCTTAACATTACCAAATGGAGTCTGGTTGCATGTGGGCATGACCTTCAAAAGACTCAGCATCTCTTTGTCCCTGGCAGTGGTGAGCAGAATGGCCATACAGGTGACCCTGAATGTGTGCACAGGTGTGGCCTCCAAGACCTCATCCTCTCTTCACAGGCGAGGGTTCACCCTGTACTGCCAATGTCTGGAATACAGTGTTCTCATTTTCATTAAGAGAGAGTATTCCCCAGGGCTTGGCATGTGGTCTGGCAGTAGAGTGCCATCCCAGGGTAGATATGGGCAGGGGACCGACTGACTTGTGATGGCAAATTTACATCACCAGCACTGGTCCATGGCACCCAGATGATTAGTCCAGCATTATTCTGTGCCTGTACTTGTGTGGTCTTTTTGGACAAGATTTATGTATAGACTGATTCTGAAGAGAGCAGATTGCCCTCCATAATGTGGACAGGCTTCTTCCAGTCAGTTGGAAGCATTGAGAGAACAGGGACTCCTGCCCTCCCCTGAGCAAGAAGGAAATAAGAATTCTGCTAGCAGATGGCCTTCAGGCTTAAACTGAGCATCAGCTCTTCCTCGAGTTCACAGCTTCTAGACTTTTCTCTTTCTCTAATCTCTTTCTCTCTTTCTCTCTCCCTCCCCATCTCTCCTATTGTTTCCATTTTCTACAAAACTCTAAGTTCTAATTAAGTAAGCTCAAGACAACATATATTTGATGAACCTGACCATCACACACATAAGTAATCCTTGTTCTGAAGAGAAAGATTAAACTTCTATAGTAATCAAATAGCAGCTTCCCTCAGATACAGAGAAAACATGCGGTATTTTTCCTCCCCTCCATGGAGGCCCTGGGAATAAGATTAATGTCTTGAAGGAAATCATTCTTGAATAACAGCTTGTAGACCTCTTCTCCATTCCCTCCAGTCCAGGAATTGTCCCTTAATTACTGTGAAACCATGACCATGTGGAAGACTAGAATTTCTTCCAATTACACCTGGATTAAAGAATAAACCCATGACAAGCCCTCCAAGTCCCAGATCAGCATCTGTCCCTGGCTTGAGTATAACAAACGCATGTTCGTTTCACTTGGCCCAGAAACATCACGTGGCTATTTGCCCTCATTCACAGATGTGATTGTGACAACTTGGAAATGTCCAACCAGGCCAATTGCTTCTCTTGTAAGCGAATGACCACACTAGATACACAATACTAGACCTTTGAGTCTGCACTGCCATCTTCTCTAGGTTTTGTTCAGTATCCTCATAGATAATAAATTATTTCTACTATCCACCATTTGTCACTGATATACATACCCTTTATGTCTAAAAATCTTGAAACAGCCCTTCCCTCCCCGGCACCACATGCCACGCTGACCCCACCCCGGGGAGCACTGAACCAGCCACTGAGACCTGGTGTGGTGGTGCATGCCTGTAATCCCAGCACTGAGGAGGCTGGAAACAGGCAGACCACTACAGTCCAAGCTGTGTAGTGAGACCCTGTGCCAAATAAATAGGTAAATAAATAAACACATAAGTCAAAATATTTATCAGCCTCTTCCCACTCTATTTAATTCCATTCAACACTGACTGAAAACTCAGGGTGAAATCCTGCTGTCTGGAATCCATAGCCAGGGAACGAGCATAGTTGGCTCATGTTAATCCTGTCGGTTGGTCTGCGGGATGAAGAAGCAGACGATGAGGCAGAAGCATCCTGCCAGACTTCCCATCAAATTCCCATCCGCACCTCCAGGCTTTGAAGAAACATCTCCACCCTGTTTCCTGTGGTGGCTCATTTGGGGGAACCAATATCCCTTTTCTTCACCATGTACTAGGATGTAGACACCCACTGCCAACTGTTCTTCTGGCTTATAGGGAGACTTCGATAAGGTTCTTAGGACAAAGCCGTGTACACCCTACTGATAGTCACCAGTTATTTAGACCTCTATGCAGACCTCCCCCAACTTACAACTTTGGAGTTTTACAGTGATGTGAAAACAATATGCATTTGGTAGAAACCACGGCTTGAATTCTGAGTCTTGACTGCAGTAGGCAGCATGCAGTCGGACCCTCTCTCAATGGGGAAACACCCCAGGACTGCCAGGGTTTGAAATGGATTCTCTGCAGTGGCCAGGGTTGCTGAGCTGTGATGTTTTATATGCTGGGTACATTGAAGGTATTTTCAACTTATGATATGTTTATTGGAATGTAACTCTATTGTGAGTTTGGAAACATCTGTTTGAGCTCCAAACAGTAATTATGACATGTCTTCTTTCATAATTGAGCAAGTTGTATCTCTAAACAGTTAAACAATGTGTGCATCAGCTTAAAATGTGGTGATGCTGGAATACAAGTGGAGGCACGTCAGCTCCCGGAGCCTAAGATCTGCCTGACATTTGCTTTCTAGCCTCATCGTGATGAAGGGTGGCTTTAGGACTTTACAGACTCTGGGTCTTAGTCATGAGGAGCATGGTGTTTTCTTTCCAACTGAGACCCTTACCAAGCTCTGAGGTCAGCTTCACACCCAAGTAATGTTTCATTAATATGATCAAATTGATTTCATAATAATAGGAAACAGGGCTGGGAGCTTGTGAAACTGATTGAGAGCCATACTGTTTAAAAGCAAGGGGAAGTGGGAATCCAAACCCAGACCTTACTCTAAAAGGTACACTCTGACCTCTTGAGAATGACAGCAGAAAAAGGCAAAGCTCTGCATGCCCAACCCAGGGATTCTCCCCCTGCTGGGCCCTGTTGTGGCCCAAGGAAAAACTGACCATGTCAGATGGACTGATACCGAGAAAATCAAAGAAAAATAAAGATTGCCTTCCTCATACTTTGAAGCTCAAGGTAGACCTTTCAAGCTCAAGTCAGGAACAGTGTGTAGGAGAAAAAACCTTGTGAATGATGGCAGCCCAGGTCTTTAGAGCTGATGCTCTGACCACAACAATGGGTGGAGAGGACACATGGAATCAGAGTTCCCCCATAGCCACCCACATGACATGGGGTTCTCTCTTTATGGGCGACAGACAAAGGGGAGCACCACTGCCTGCCTCCTGCCACACCCCTTCGTCACATGTTAATGGACAGCACTGGGGACAGAAGACAGCCAGAGCCTCCAGTGCCTTTAAAATCTGGTGCAGGGTCCTCTTAGCAAAGGCCCCAGGGGTTGATGTGGTCTAGACTCACCTGGCCAGTTCTAGAGCACAGAGACAGCAGGCATCAGTGCCAGGCAGATGCCTTGAGCTGGCCTTACCATACCAGATACTCTGAAAAAATGGGGAGGAATCCTGTGGATTTTTATGTGCATAATAAGACTCTAAGGAATCTGAGATGTCTTTAGCAGGAGGAGATACACTACCAGGTCCACTTGCCCAGTATCCCCATGGACAGGGGACTTCCAGACAGAGGATACTAGGTGAGCGTGTGTCTGTCACCAGTACCACTGGGACAGATAGACCTCCTAGGCTTCAGATGCAATCCCAGGTATGTGTGCATGCACACAGGAGTAAGGCTTAAATTAATGTCATTTGCTATATATTAGCAAGAGTAAAACCTGGTTTTCTATTGTTATGAAGTGAGACTTTAAGATAGAAACCAAGATGATAAAAACATTTCCTTTTATTTGCACACTTGAACATGTGAATGTACTACCTGTTCTTACTTGACTCATTCACTTTTGAGGGGTCAGTGAATTCATATTACAAGTACAGACTTGCAGTGTATGGAGAACAAAACATTCTTCTAAAAATACAGAAGGGGATTAAAATAGAATTTGCAAAACTGTATAACATGTGGAAGAGTCTCCCGGGTCCCCACATCATCAACTATTCATTTTCTCACTGTGACTTCCAAGTTTTTATTGTCAACATGCTCTTCCCTCACAGTCCCACTGGTGCATTCCCCACTTCCAGCCACCAAATTCACAATTTGCAGGGAGAGAGGTCTGTTCCGGAGTCAAAGGAAGCCCTGAGTGACTTAATAAAGTAAATTTTTCCCTTGAAAATACTATCACCAAAGTAATCTGTCTATGGGCAACTTTGTTTGGGTTTTGAAACATAGATTGGTTTTCTCTTACCTGGCTCAAGTAGTTGGATCCTGCAGCTATGCAGGGCTCAGAATAGGAAAGCGTCCACAGCTGTTGGCTGCTGCTGGTCATGGTGAGCTACAGCAGGAATGTTTCCGGCCACATAAACTCTGCTCTCAGGACAATGGCTCTCTACACGTGAGAGCATAGTGTTCTACAGAGCAGAGCCCAGACCCTCATTCTCCAACCCACCTAACTCCTCCTGAGTGCTCTGCCCTGCTGGGGAGAAGGTGGGCCCTGGCCCCGGGGGCGGAGGATGGCCTCCACAGTACGATCCCTGACGCTCTTCAGGAAGCTCATCGCTGTAGACCCACCAGTGCCTCTGTTTTCTAGAGCCTGCGGGAGTCCGAGGAGGTGGCTTGGTCCCCTGCTCCTGGCTTTGGCTGCAGCTGTGATAAGGTATTTGGTCACTATGTTGATGTGGTAGCTGCGTAGTTCCACCAGGGCCTCCAGACACAGGTTATAAGCTTCCAGACAGCAGGCACGACCAGGGGATAAGACGTAGTCTCTCAGGGACGGAGCTGAGTGGATTTCTTCTATGAAGTCCTTATGCAAAGGAGGCATGTAGTCCCTCATTCTGTACAGAAAGTCAGCTGAAAGAAACCAGCCACAGGAATGCCTAGCTTGCATGCAGACAAGAACATAGCCTGCCTGTTAGGACACCAGGATTTGTAGGTGAGATCCTAACTCAACCTACTTGCTGACACTTTGGCTTGTGGACAAAGATTCAAATGTGTGTCCCTGTTTAGTTACTTTAGAAAGATAACTAAAAGTGTAAGACACAGACTCTTCAACTTATTAGCTAAATACTCTGATGAATTTTGGTTCTTAAGTGCTGTTTTGTTTTCCTGAAGGGAATGCTAAGGAAGAAAAGGAAATAAAGTATATATGTAAACAGAAAAATAAAGAATGAGAACTGTTTTAATAACAGTGATTTGAAACTAAGTTTTGTAAAACCCAAGAGGAGGCCTGTGATGTCATAGCTTCAAACTCTAGCTCTCGTCTCCGTTTCTGATAAAGGAAGCAACTGCCTAAGGATCCAAACCAAAATTACAAGAAACAGCTGGAATTACAGCAGTGTTTGAAGATTTGGAAATGAAACCCAAGATCCTGCTGAGATGTGATATTCTGATATTAATTGATTTGACAAAGTAACAGGTGGCAGGCACAGTTTCCTGCTTAATTTAGGAAACTATAGACTTCATGACATTTTAATTTATTCTTGGCTTCATCAATTGGGTAAAAACACCTCTTTGTTTATCTTACTTTATTCTTCATAAAGAACAAAAACATCTGGCTTACCACTTTCCTTGCTATGAAGGACGCCTAGGAACTCGTCGAAAGCATGGAGCACCGTGCTCTGAGCAGCACTGCCTCCAGAGTACTCCAGGGGCTCTGTGGAGACTCCTTCGTACACCAGGCCCACAGGCATCGCTGGGTTGTTCTTCCATCTATGCAGGAGTAAAGGTCAATGGGAAGAAGCAGGCACTAGGAGTGAACAGTGTACTTTCTGACTCAAAGTCAAGCAAGGGAGAGGGCCATGACTTCAAGGGTAGTTTCAGGGCAGAGCACTGGGACTCTTTGGGGGATGAGTATAGGAGTGCCATCTTGGGCTAGACCTCACAACATGCCATGAAATTGAAGCCTTTCTCTTCCCTGTGTAGAGGATTCTTCCAGAACACCAGAGTATGTTTACACAGAACCTTTGACATTGGTTCTACGACATATTAATTGAAAAACCTGAGTTATAATGATGTCGTCAATGCTGACCAACACGATTTAGTGCCCCTAGAAAATTCTCCACTTTATCTGCTAATTTCAGTCTCAATGACTTCATGCTTACAACTTTACAAATACACACACACACACACACACACACACACACACACACTCCTTTGCTCTCTCTTAAAAAATTATCATTGCAAGAATCGTTACATGAAACCCTTAGATGCAGGCATGGCCAGTTCTCACGAGAATGGCTTCATCAGATACTTATCCATAGCAGATGTTGAGGACCAGGGGTGGCAGCAAGGAGAACAGAGCCTCACCCACAGCTCCCCAAGGACTATAGTGAGGGTCACAGCTGGCTGGGACAAGCGCAGTAGACTCTCCCCTCCCTTGCACCCTCTGCTCTTTTGCCTTCCTTGCTGTTTTCTCTGAGCCCTTTCTTCCTGCCTCCTTCCACCTGAGTCACTCCCCTACATCTGGTTCTCCACAGAGGCTGGCAATGCCGTGAGTGGCCTGGTGAGCCCACGGAGCTGGCAGAATTAACAAGAGCTCAACACGTTTGCACACAGCTCTCCAGCTCCTTTCCCCATTTCCTTTGGTGAGTAGACCACGACAGAGAGTCGCTAACCTCGTGTTATCACTGAAGAAATAGAGCCTAAGAAAACTGAAGTCTCCAAGATGACACTGAGAGAACAATGGCGTCAGAACTTGCACTCCACACTTGTGCCCTCTTTTTTGTCTATTTCATTCCCTATGAATTCCATTACATAAATTTCTGTTTTTACTAGGAAAAGGAATCCTTCTCTCCTATTGCTGGGAATAAGTTACCTTCCCTATTTGGACAACGAAGCTAACAGATTTATTTGTACACTAATTTTTTTTTCTTGCCTTCTTTCTATAATTCTAAAGTTGCTTTGCTCAAGAAAATGGTCATAGCATGCACACAGGATGCTCTCCTAAAGCAAAGGATTCTATTCTGGGCAGTCAGGGAACTGAACTTTTCCAATTGTTAACTACGAGTCTTGGTTTACTTAGCATTTCTGTGCCTCAGTTTCCTCATCTGAGTAATATTAATATCTACCTCTCAGTAGTTGGTATTGCTATTAGGTCATCATGAAAACTAATGAACATTTGTCCAGTGTCTGGGAAATATTAAGCATGAAATAATTACTAGCCATCTTTGTTGTATTATTATATTATACATTGTTATTGATTGGTTGTATCAGAGTGAGTTGGGATCCTTGCTTTCCTTTTATTATTTGGCAGCTGTGTACAAATCCTACTGAGGCTCAACCTCACTAATATTTATTATCTTTCTGTAATTGTTAGGAGAAGGAAGTGAGTTCCAGAAGTTTTTGTGATTCTTCATACATCAGACTCCAGTCTAAAAGATTGCTGAGCAGCATTTTATGGAGAACAAATGCTGAAGACACCACAGCAGTTTGCTGATGAATGGACCCAAGCTCGCAGGAACCTTGCATGGACAATCCTCTGGGAGCCAAGAGATAACCGAAGGCCATTCTGATCTGTACTACTTCCCAACCAAGCTATACTAAACATTACTCTCCTAGATCAATGCCTGGACTCCCTGCTACTGTCATTTCCCAAGTCACTTTAACTAATCTCATAAGAAAAAATACTATTGTTTTTACACATTTACACATAGATCTGTAATTCTTCCCTGTGCCTCAGACTCATCTGTCTAATCATCCATGGGACAGCTCCATAGAATGGATATCCCCGAAATGACTTGAATTTCTTCCCTTTCCCAAACATATTCATCCTAGAGTCTTCCCCGCTGACTAAATCATAAGTTGAATTCTTTCAATGTACTGGCCCCCAAAAACCTAGTTGCTCTGACTGATTTCTTTATTTTCAATTCCATATGTTATTTAAATAGTGAATCAGTCAACATTAACCCGGATCTCTATCTCCATCCACTCATCCGTCTGTCTGACTGTCTATGGGGATTCTGACCATCTCTCAGTCCCTTCAATGCAGCCCTTGCTCCAGTCACCAACATGAATCACAACATTGGCTTCTCAGATACTTTCCTTATTTCCACCTGTGTTTTTAACTAGTCTACTTTCCACCCAGTAGATGCAATGATGATTTGAAACTAGAGATAGATCTTGTTGTCACTTTTCTCACAGCTTGCCCATGTTACCTGCTCACTCTGAAAGGAGACTAATACACCCCCATGTTGCTACTGTCTGTCTCTGAGTCTTCTTCTTTCTCCCAGTCTAGTCCCCTCGTAATCTCCCCTCAGGATAAACACACTCCACCCCAAGTCCATTGCTACCCCTTTCCTTCTGTGTGGCATGGGAATCTGGCTGACTGACTCTTGATTCCTTCAAGTATCCGTTATAATGTACCAGTGTGGCATTCCCAGAACACAATAAGTACTAAGAGATGTCAATTGCTGCACCTCACACTGCCTCCCTAATGCCCTGTGCATTAGTTCACATTGCTCTACATTGTCTGTTGTGACACTTACTGCATGATGGGCATTTTATTAGATTTACTTGCTATTTACTCATTATCTGTTCTTTTCCAAATCATGAATTCCACAAGACCAAGTGTTTCATTTCACTGCCCTGTTCCCAAAACAACAACTGGACCTGGCACATAGTAATCACTAACTAAATACTTGATGAATGTGACACATGGATGAAGGATTAAAAGCATTCTATAAGTCTATCCAACATGCCCAGAGTAGATATACTCAAATGTATCTCTTGAAAGGGCCTAGACAGCATCTCAAATGACCTATTAACCCATCTTCCCTTATTGCCACAAACTGGAGAGACCATATTGGCCACCCTGCATATGACAGGAAACATCTAAAAAGACAAAAGAAAAACATCTACTTTCAAAGTTCCCCTTCTCCAGCTAGGGTGAAATGAGGCTGTGGAGAGGAAACTAAATTTCTCTGGGCAGCCCCAGAATCCCTCCCAGGCATGCGCAGGCCTAAAACCACTGTTCATGAAAGACAGGAACTACTGGCCTTTGGAATATCTGTAGTCAGGGTTATTTATAGACTTTTGCATATTTCTAGCAACCGCATGAAAAGGAGAAGTTAAAAAAAAAAAAAGGAAATGAGATGACAAAAGAACTCATAACTTCCCTGAGAAAGGAATGTTTCATTTATAAATGAAATCTTTCAACTTCCTCCATCAAATATATTTAAGGAAATACACAAAAAAAAAAAAATATAACAAACCCAGCCTAGAGGAAATCATGAATGAAATAGCAGGTTTACATTTTTCCAAAAGACCCAATTGGGAGACCTCAACCATCCAATGTTTTTGACTGCTTATACTTATCTGCACATTTACTAACTGGCATTAGCCACATAGCAGCATGGGAACTATTTTAAGGATGTGAAATATGACAAGCATTTATGTGGATTGTACATAAAATATAGCACTGACCTTGAACTTATCTTAATGAAAACAAAGTCACCACTGGTGTGCATTTAATCATGAAGAATTCAGAACATATAGTTCATCCTTATCAGATACCTCTGATATCAAAAAGTGGTAGAAGGACACTGTGGTAGGCAGAATTCTAAAAAGGTTTCCTAAAATTCCTATCCTAATTCCTGGGGTAGTTCATATTACAAGCTAAGACTGTCGGTGTGATAAATGGCAAGGGAAAGGGACTTCACAGATGCAATTAAGACCAGCAATCGGTGGACCTTAACATAGAGAGCTGCTGTGCATCATTTAGAGGAGCAGAACCTAATTGCACAAGATATTTAAAAGCACAGAGTTTTTGCCTGCAAGTGGCAGACGGGGAAGGCAGAAAGATTCAGAGAGCAGAAGGATCCAAGTGGCATTGCTGAGGTGGAGGCAGGCACAGAAGATGTGGGGGATACCTCCAGAAGTGGACAGCAGATTCTGTCTGCTACTCTGCAAGGAAAGGGAGACATCAGTTGCAGGACCACAAAACATTTGATCTAAATGAGTATGGAAGCAAATCTTCATCCAGGTCGTCAGTGTGGAGCCCGGCCCAGTGGAGAGCCTTCTGAGACCTTAGGCAGAGAAGCCAACTGAGTTGGCCTGCACTTCAGACCAGCAGAGCTGGGGAAGTAAGAAACACATATTGTTTAAAGCCACTTGATCTGTGGTAATTTGTTATGTAACCATGGAAAGCAAAATCAGATTTAGAGACCAGAGTGAAGGACAAAGGGATTTTCCTAGCTTATGCACTTCTAAAACCCAGTTTCTGTATTTGCTGTGAATTTCCTGCATGATTCCATGAACCAAAAAAAAAAAAAAAAAAATCCCTTGTTTATCTGATACCTAATCCTGCCAAGAGCGGACAGGGAAAGCCTAAACTCTGAGACACACCCACTGCTCTGCTGTCACACTTCCCATACCTGTAAAAATTACAGAGATAATCAACTTCTTAAGAAAAAAGGTCAGGGGCCCTGCCCTGTAGCTCAGTTCTTTAAGTGGCTGCTTCAACCAAGCAGTCAGGCTCAGGTTGCTGTGGTTTGATCCCCACAACTCAAGCCAGCCAAACCTGCCCTGAAGGCATTTGGAGCAAAAAAAAAAAAAAAAGAAACAAAGAAAAAAGAAAACAAAAGAAAAAAGGTCACTAGCTTCACAGCCACAGAAGTTCCAACCCATAGTTTTGAGAGCGAGACCTTGCATGGCAGCCAGAGCTCCTTCCCTCAGGGCTCCCTGGAAGCAAAGCAGAAGGGAAAGGAGTAGGGTGTCCGTACTCCCTTGGAGGGTGCCACCCGCCTGCCCGCAGCGCCTAAAGATTCTCCCACTTCCCAGCAGCTCCAGGGGCTCGTGAGCAACGTGGGTACCCTTCACATCCAGGGACAACACCTCTCACCTTTTCTTTCCCTTGCCTGAGCCACATGTTCACTGCTCACAAGCTACTCTGGAAAACCTCCAGTTTCCACTCTCCGAGCCCCACGGTGGAGATTCCCCGCCCAAACTGAGCTCCATGTAGAGACCTACCTAAACCCAAGAGAATATTTTGCATGTTTTGCTATTTCATTTTTACCCCAGTGGACTACATCAGTGATAGATTTTAGCATTTCATGGGCCTCTTGCTATCCCTAGGCACAGTTCAGATTCTTTCTGTGGATTATTCTCCAGACATCTCCTAGTTATCAATGCATTGTGCTAGATGGTATCTGTTTCCCATTTTCCACATTATCCATCCACTGCCTAGATTTTTCACTTTTTACCATTTAAATATTATTTTATAAAATCACTTCATTCAGGCTGGGGAGATGGCTCAGTAGAATAAGTGCTTGCCTGGCAAGCACAAGGGCCTGAGTTCAACCCCTGGTTCTGCTAAAAAAAAATAAAAATAAAAATTAAAAAATCACTTCATTTCTCTTAATTCATATAAATAGGAAGGAAACATGATTTTAAAACATCAAGATAAGAATGATTAATGTATTTAGGACAAGAGATGTGTCTTGTAGAAGTACAATAGAATTTTCTACCTAGAGAAATTTCTAGCTATGTGACAGAACAATTCCCAGAAATATTTAAAACTTGTCTGGTGTACTGTTATAGTTTGTTCTGGACACTACACTAACATTTCAGAATGGGCCATTTGTTAGAAATAGAAATCCTCTCCCCACAACTCTGGAAGATAAAAAATCCATGGTCAAGGTTCTGGCAGGCTAGTGTGATGAGGACGCAGCTGCTGTCACCAGGTAGCCCCTCTAGTGCTATGTCCTCATGAGGTGAAAGGGGGCAAAAAGGCACCTAGCTCTTTCCACTTCAGCATTTCTTTCCAGTCCTGGAGATCAAATCTAGGGCCCCACACTTGCTAGGAAATTGTTGTGCTTTTGAGCCACACCCCCTGCCCTCTTTAGTCCTTTTATGAGTATATTACCATCATGACATTGTCACCTCAGAGGCGCCATCTTCTAGCAGATTCACCTCGATGATTAAGTGGGTTTTTTTTGTATTTTATTGAGAAACAAATATCAATGAGACACTTTCCAAGCAGAATAATAGGACTTTTTCAATAATTAATACATTGCACATTGTTATCTTCTCAGCGATCAGCCACAGCACAAGAAGCAGCCAGGACATCCCATCCAAACACTACTACTACAAATCCTTCCTCTCACTGAACCAAGCGAAAGCAGCCGTACAGCTATCTTAACTATTCCGTATATACAAATACAAAATGGTCCTTCCTCTGTATCCCCCCTCTCTAGTTCAATCCTGTCAGAGATGGGTATTCTATTGGCATCTAAATATTATACGTGCTTGAATTCATCAAAGCAATCCAACACAGTCCAGTAGTCCACGATAGTAGTGGGTTATCCACAGAAGTTGTTGACTAGAGCCTTTTACAGCTCTCCATGATTAAGTGTTAAACTCTGGATTTTGGAGGGACATGTACATTCAAACCAAGTGAGTGGCTCTTTAGGAATTTTAAAGGAATATACTTACACTACCATGTCTGCCTCCACCTGTCTACATAACAAGAGCAAAGAATGGATATAAGCGACAGAGTTCCATGGGAGGGATACTGTCAGTTAACAAGCCCTGAATATAGGTGGATCTAATGTGAGGGCCTAAAAACAGTCTCTCAGAATTTAAGGAAGTATGCAAGCCTCAGTGTCATTTGTCATGCAGACGGTAACCTACTTCTTTTATCCAAGACTGGATCCAGGTAATTACTTCACTAGTAAAGGTCACTTGGTATGTTTCATAGTCTAGGAAGGGTCTGTGTGCTTCTCCTCTCATAAATTTGGAAAATGCTGCAGAAGCTTCATGCAGGAAAGCAATTGAACTTACCCAGAGAGAAAGATCCGGATGACTGCATAAAATATGTCTGGGTCTACATAATCTGGAAAAGCAATCAGAATGTGAACTTTACTAGAGGCGAGAAGAGCAATAGGTTCCATGTGCAATGGGCTCCTGCTCTCCTGGGGCTGCTTCTTCCATCTGACCTGCGTGGAGACCAGAAAGGAAGTAGCAGCAAGACCCAGATGGAATGTTCCCTTCTGGGGTCCCTTCGCTGGCCCTTGCAGAACTTTTAAACTGTTCCATACTCTGGCCTTTTCTATTTATGGCACATCCCTTTTCTGTACTCAGTGGCAACAATGAAAGGTTGCCTTCAAAAAATTAATATTTTGGGGGCTGGGGAGATGGCTCAGTGGAATAAGCACTTCCCTGGCAAGCGCAAAGCCTGAGTTCAATCCCCAGTTCTGCCAATAAATAAATAAATAAAACAAAAAATTAATATTTTAAGCAAACATAATATGTGAGAGTGTGAAGGGAGTGGAGACAGGAAAAGTGGGGAAAATCCCCTCCACAAGTGCTTTCACAGAGAGGAAAACCACGGCACCAGGGCGTCCACACAGGTCTGCGTCATCTCCAGGGGACCCAGGAGAGGCAGTGATGAGGCTTTGCCAGGGAGGCCGCCCAGGCCAGGTGTGGCTCTGTCTATTTTTAAGCCTCATGCATGAGTGTGTGCAGGTCATGAAGGGTCTGTGCTGGTGTGCTGGTTAACTTGTATGGAAGAGATCACACTCTTGTACAGCATTTCTATGAAATTTCTTTTCATCAACTTTAGAAGGTTGTGCTTTCTCCTCCTCACACAATAGGGATTCTCTGACTTGTGACCTAGCACATGTGCATTTTACCCAGACCCTTCTAGGCCTATTTGCCTGTGAGGGAAAAGACACATCTCTGGCACGAGCCCCACTAACAACATCTCTGAACCCTTGGCTTTCCTTCTCCACTCCAGCACGGCTTTGTGGTCCCTCATCCCTTCTTCTCACCTCTGTTGTCTTGAACCCTCCACTGGTACCGTGCCTCGTGTCTTCCTTCAACCTTGAGGCTTCCAAATGCTCTTCTGTGGGTCACGGTCATCCTCTCAGAGCTGTCAAGTGCTGTGTGCTAGGCTTTTCCCTGGGTCACTTTTGGATCTTTCCCTATTGTTGCTCAGTTCCCACCCAAGTTGCTAAGTACTATATACATTTTATTGAAGAAATAATGGCTGACAATAGCTTAGCATTTTATTCAATTTAACATGAAAGAGGAAAAGTCAAATGATCACTTTAATGCATGTAAAATATTTTTGTTGTAAAATAATTTCAATAGGTATAAAAAAATCCAATTCATAATTAAAACAACCAACTAAAAATTGGAGATAATTAGAAATAGTAAGGAATATCCTTCAACTTTACAAGGAAATCACAGAAAGACTAGAATACACATTATAAGAAAAGATAAAGTGTTAAAACCAACTCAACCATAAAATTAAAGAAGAATCTACATTTCTATTACCTTTTTTTTTTCATTTATGTATTTGGTACAGGGTCTCACTACATAGCTCAGACTCATAGCGATCCTCCTGTTTTCAGCCTCCCCAGCACTGGGATTACAGGCACACGACCATACCTGGACTCCTTCACCAGCTCAGCACATCCCAGGAGCGGGGCCGGAGTGGCATGCAGGAGACAGGATCAAAGCCTGGTCCCTGCTCTTGCCAAAGCAGGCACTTGTCTACTGAGCTGTCTCGCTGGCTCTCTACATTTCTATTGAATGATGTTATATACAGTTTATAGGCAAAAGAATAAGAAATAAAATTTTATTTTTATTTATTTATTTTGTATTTAATACAGGGTCTACAGGGTCTCACTACACAGATCAGACAAGTAGTGATCTCCCGTTTTCAGCCACCCAAGTGACAGGATTACAGTCTCAATGGAGGTCTCATCTTGTCCCAGGGCGGGGCCAGCACTGCAGGCCATAGATTAAACCCCATCCCTGTGTCTGCTAAGCAGACACTTTAATCTGCTGAGCTATCTGGCCTGCCCCTCAAGAAATAAAATTTTAAGAAAAAAGACATAGGTATTACAAATGAAAAAAGCAAATATTGCTCAAATGATGTGAATTTTACACAGAAAATCCAGAGACCCTCCAGATAATTTCTAGGATTAATTGTAGTGCTTATGAAATGCTAGATTCAAGGTTGATGTTCAAATATCGGCCTTATTCTAAAAATTGGAAATGAATAGTCAGGAAGCAGTTAAGGAAAAAATACATATTCATTAAAAGCAAATGTATCAGGTAACCATGAATAATGCAAAAGGTAGGTAAGTCCTATGCCTTGAAAAAAATTAAAGAAAAAATAGTAAATGAAAAAGACACGCTCTTATATAGTATGTTCATGGACAAGAAAACTCAATATTTAAGCGAGGAAATGCATTAAAGAGAAGAGTTCACTATCTGCATGTATTCCAGGCCATATGCCAAATATTCAAAACTATAAAGAAATGGTTTGGAATAATTCATCCAGGGACCTCTGCTAATATTTTACATTATTATTGGCCTCTCCATGTGCATTATTCATAAGACATGAAGATAGGATATAATAAAAATCATCTCCCTTTTCTTCAAATTAATGTGTATATTTAATGCAACCTGAGCAAAATTCCAAGCCATTCCTGTTTCAGTGGCACTGGCTTGGCTGAGGCCTGTGGGCGCAGGCAGGCCATGCATAGACAGACCAGGGGGAAGGGTTTGTTCTCTTGTTAGAGGCAGATGGTATCAAAGCAGAGAAAGACAAGCAGATAAAGAACCTGAAGAGAGAACAAAGGACAACAGACGCACTCATTTTAGAAAGTCTGATAGGAGATCTGAGACTGTGCTAACTTTGTAGAATGGTTTCATCCATAGGAGACTAGCTAGATTTATTTTCAGTTTCATACTACATACAGATAATAACTACAAATTAGTTAATTGTAGTTAAGATCTTAAACATGAAAGGCAAAACAACAATTTTAGATGAAAACATGGAGAAATATATTTATGAACCATGTGTATGGAATATTTTATATGAGAATCCTTAGAACAAACACTTTGTCTGACTTACATTTAATCAGACAACAGTTCTTTTTTAAGTCCAAGTAGAGTTTTGGCCCTGCTCCCTACCCATAGTAAAACAGTTTGAAATGTCCCATGCAAGAGGATAGTTTCAAATGGGTTACCCTTGTCTCTATTTAAAAGTATGCACAGTCAAAGTACTATGCAATTTTAAGACAATAAAGATAGTGCATTTGAAAAAAAATGATTGATAGTTTGAATATATTTAAATGAAGATCTTCCACTTATGAAAAGCATAAGACAATCAAGATAGCCCTGCAAACTAAGCACCTGCTTAGACAAGCACAGGAACTGGGGTTAGATCCCCAGTACCACACCCACGTCAGCCCCACCCCCACCTCCCAGATACACTAAACTGGCCACCAATTCTGGGTGTGGTGGCACAGGCCTGTAATCCCAGTGCTGGGGAGACTGAAAACAAGAAGATCACTACGAGTCTGAGCTGCAAAATGAGACCCTGTATCAAACACACACACACACACACACACACACACACACACACATATATGCATAAGACAAACTACAACATTTGTAGTACATATAACAAAAATCAGCCTCTAGAGTATAAAAAAATAAGTAAAATGTATTACAAAACTGATGAATGATACGCATCTTAAAAAAAGGAATGTGAATAGTAATTATTTATGTAGACACACACACACACACACACACACACACACACAAGCTGGGGAGACAGACACAGAGAGAGATAGAAAGAGATGATAGCTACCATCTCAGAAATAAGAAAAATTCCCCTTGACCCAAGAATAAACTCTACTCTTAACAGACTAGCAATAAATAATCAAGTAAATGAATGAATAAGTCAATGAATAAAACTAACACTAGTAGATGTTGGTAAGATGAAATTTCAACTTAGTGTAGGCGTCTGGTGCTAGCTAGTAAAGAAGAAGGTGCTAGAAGGTGCACATGCATTTTCATTGAGCAATTCAACTCTTCAGCCTCTGCCTGAAGCAATCCTTACAAATACACACAGGAGCTATGGACAAGAATATTTCTGGTGGCCTTGCTTTTAACAGCAAGACAAACAAATGCAAAACAAATAATATAAAACCCAAAAATTGAGAAAATAACTAAATTGTAGTCTATTGATATAAAAAGATGCCTTTGGCAGAGAAACTATAGTATATATCCACCTTGGCTGGCCCTTCGTTAAATAGGTAGGTCACAAGAGAAAACACACATTTTAATTTCTTCATATAAAGTTAAAAGCATATGAAACAAAATAATGCACTTTGAAGGCATCTTTTCTTAAACAGTGAAAGCATACAACAATAAAAGAGTAAGTAATATTAATCAAACTGGTGGCTAAAAGAAAATATTTTTTGGGACCGGCCAAAGAGCTTAGCGGATTTAAGCGCCTGCATAGGCAGAAGCAGGCACTGGGAATTCCATCTCTTGGCCTGCCAGTGCCAGCCCTGCCCCTGGGGCACACTGAGACAGAAACTGAGACTGGGTGTGGTGGTGCATATCTGTAATCTCAGTACTTGGGAGGCTGTAAACAGGAGGATGACTACCAGTCCAATCTATGCAGGGAGACCCTGTAGATCCTGTAGACTCTTCCCTAAAATACCAAAGAAAAGAAAGAAAATATGTTTTGGGGGAGTACAATTGAAAAGAGACATATAAAATTTTCAGTGTTTGATAATGGTCTAATCCTTTGATAGGAAACTGGGCAGGAAGGTATCTGTTTTACTCTTATTCTGTACCTTCAACTTACATGTTCTGTTTTGTTTGTACATTAAATATTTTATTTTGAAAAAATGGTAGTTATATGGCTTTTAGTTCTGAGCTAATAGGTGTCCAGTGATCTTTTTATCCCCTCCCCCCATTTATTTCATGCACACTAGGAAAAGCAGTTTGGGAGCTTGGTCAAGCACTGTCCACAGGACTCCTCCCTCCATGGACATGGTACTGCTGTGCAGCCAGACTTTTGCTTTTGGTTTCACCCTGTACAGTGTGGCCTCCAAGGGTGTGTCCAGGAGCAGGAAGATTATTCTATAGGGCACAGGGAGGATCCCACGACAGAGTGGCTGGGCTTCCTGCATGACCTTCTCACTGATTGGAGCCACTCACGTTGCCACACCTATACCTGTGCATGCTGGGCAGCTACCTTCCCACTTTGCTGTTACTCAACAAAGCACACAATATGTTGGTTAAGTTTCTCTCTCCTTCAAACTCCAGCAAATCTCAAGAAAAAGATAATGTCTACCCATGATTGATTTATACACACCTTATCAAGCTTTCTATGTCATAAGTATTTTTATTATTTTTTTCAGAAAGAATAAGGAAAACTTTTGTTTTGTTTTTGTATTGCTTTGTTTGTTTTAGACTGGGTCTCACTACATAGTACAAGCTGGCCTCACACTCCTGAAGATCCTCCTACCTCAGCCTCCCAAGGGCTGGGATTACAGGCTCCTGCACCACACTCAACTTTTTAAAAGTTTTAAATACATGTGTAAGTTTTACTTGTGGCTTTTAGACAAGGCAAAACTCAGAAAACTCTTTATTCTCAGTCAGTGCTGATCAGGCACACTCATAGAATGACTAGTGTGTTTTCATATCACATGAATGTTCTCTACTGTCTCAACGAGGGAACTCAGATGGCCTTGACTCTATTACTGTGTCATGAGGATCGGAATTTAGAATGGACCCGCCTCCCCAACAGAAAGAATTATTAACAAGAGAACAGAAATCACTGTGGCAGTCAGATAGACACAGAAAAATTCCTATGAACAATCACAGGAAAAGATAAAGAACCAATGCCTCAGCAGGAACAGTGAAGCCCAAGAGTATTGTTGAGTATTGATATATTCAGCATCCGAAAGAATATAGTTGCCAGCAAAACTATTTCTTACGTTGGTGTGAAATAAGGTAATTTTTAGAAAACAGAGTTTACCACTAACTCACTTGTGGAAATCCTAAAGGATTTGGTCTTTCAGGCAAAAGAAATATGCGCAAAAGAATGAGGGGGGAAAAAAGATTCAAAATACATAATGAAATCAAAATGAGCTGTAACCACATAAAATTAAAGTAAACATGGTAGTTTTAGATAGCTTTGCTGTAATTTAAGTTCCTATGTTCCTAAGCAGTATTCTATGAAAGTTTTACAAAAATTTTCAGTGATTTGAACATTAGCTCTGTGGATGTACATTTTTAGAATCAATACAAAAACATATTAAAATTGGGCTTAAATGAAAATTTGGTTTAAGATGGTGGCCCAAATGACACACATATATTCAGATTACCTCATGTAGCTAATGCATGACTGAAGACACACTTTAGAAATGCTAACATGATTTTATGTAATTTAACAGATCATTTCAATGCTAATTATTTTCAATTGGATTTAAATATAAGCTCATAAGGTAAAAAGGAAACTTTCTTTGATAAAATTATGTGAACAAATCAAAATTAAAGTCAACAAAAGTTCACACTTCTGTTTAGCCCCAATTTATTCTTCAGAAAGTCTAATTGAACACATATACCAAATTGTTAGAAGAAAATTTCAAGTGGATTTCCTCTAGTGCATAGTCTAAGATGCCCAATAAATTCGTTCTCTCGACACACAAATCCCTGTACCAGCTCATGTCTAGCCCCTCTCTCTTCTCCTGCTTCCTGTGAATGCCACCTTTTTAGAATCTCTCCCCTCTCATTGGAGCAGGATTGAGGCATAGGATAGGAGATTTGCTCTTCCGTTGCTAACGGGTCTCACCCCTTACCCAAACCTTCTTTAAAAACCTGGCATGGATTTCAGATTTTTCTGATAGAGGAAATTGAGGACCCTGCCAGCTACTGGACACTGACTGTAATAGCCAGGGAACGTGCCCGTTTGCCTGACCACACTTATGAGAACTTGTGTCTGCCGCCATAGGGAGTCTAAAGCTGAAGTCATTCCTGTTAGGAACCAACAGTGAGAAAAGAAATACAGGGCCACTGCAGATTGGGAAAATGGACTCCCTCCAGCGGGCCCTGCGTGGAGCTCTCAGGACCACTAAGACAGCTTGGCCTGGCCCCTCCTCCCAACTTTAGCAAGGCTTCAACAGTCCGAAGACCGGAACTATCTTAATCACAGTGAACACAAAGAAGGACAAAAGTTCCAAAGACTGAGAGCATTCTGATACCATCAACAGCAAGTTAGTTTACCTTAAAACAAAGGCAGTGCGCTACTGCCATCGTGTGGCCAAGCGCATCATCGCGCACTCAGGCAGCCAGGTTCAGGGCCCTGGTCCTAAGCGGAGCCCTTCTGCACCCGGCAGTCCTTCCCCAGTAACCCACCGTGCATTTGTCCCAGGGTTCTGGTGATGTCTTCGATTGAGAGTCTCAGGCGCTGCAGGGCCTTGAGCAGGGCGTCATCGTCGGCCTGCAGGATGGCGCTGATCGCCTGAGCCAGTGCCTGGGGAAGGAACCGTCATCCTCAGTTCTGGGAGGCTGGGCCCAGGGTGCCCCCCCCCCCCACACACACACACAACTGAATCTGGGTGATGTCGTTCTGAGGGTCAGGGTCTCCGCGGGAAGCTCCTGGAGAGCGCGGGTTAAGTTTCTCTGGCTCTTTCCATTCGCTACTACTTCCTGTGCTGCTCCTATTACTGGATTTATCATGTTCTGTTCCCAGTTTTGCGTCCCAGCTAGGGCAACCGCACACTCCAAAACTCTGTGATGTGAAATCAGATTCCAAAGATCCCCATTCCGCTGACCTGCATTGGAAAGGATGAGATTTTATTCTGTGCGGTCCAGGGGTTTGGACGCACGGAAGAGAACGAGAGACCGTGTAGTTCACTTTTGGGTGGAGTGGGATAATGGAGGTTGATCAGCTAAGCATGCGCACTGTCCCTGAGCTACACCCCAGCCCTGTTTTGTCCAGGACTGAAGATGGAGCCTCACTGGTCTTAGCGGCTCACCCGGAAGGTGCTGAGCACAAGCATAGATTTAATGTAAATGCCCTTTAGGCAAAGCACTGCATTCTAGCTGAGCACACGCTGCCCCAGTCTTGTGCCTTATATCTGGCCTGCCTGGTATCTTGCCGATGGACTCTTCGAAATACTCAAGCCTGCAACCCCCAGCGCTGGGGCGTCTCGATGGTACCTTTCATTTCATTTCCCTCTGAGCCTGTGCACGGCGGTTTTCTCTACCAGATACTTGCCTTCCTGTCTCCCTCTTCCCCACCACTGTACTTCGCTCAGGTGTTCTTTTAGTTGTCATTTCTCCGAGGAGTCTGGATGAAGTTTCAGCTGTCATTTTATGAAGCGCTGCATTTCTTTCCCTTCCCCTACATGAGTTCATTTTCCTGCACTAGATCCAACTTGCCTCATGTACCCCGATTTCCCACTCCTAGAGCAAAGCCTTGGAGAATGCATCCTTCTACTCCCAAGGTAAGGACTAGGAGGGATGGAGAACTCGACTGACTTCCCACTGAAAAGGAGGACAAAGTGCCATGAAGTGAGGAGATACCTTAATCCCGGGCACTGCCGCTTTCTCCACCAGTACCGTCACCAGCACGAAGCCACGCAGGCTCTCTCCCCCAGGAATTGATACGATGGTCTCCAGGTTACTTGGAAAGCAGAGGATCACACTGTCAGGTAGCTGGAGTCAGAGTCCATCTGCAGCCCACACTGAGTCAGATCACTACAGGGAGAGAAAGGGCTCCCCTCTCAGACAGCCTCGGGGCACGTGCACCCTCAGCAACACTCAGGGAAGGGAGGGTGCAGGTGAGGTCGAGCCTGAATTCCCCTGGCTGTGGCTCAGGAAGGCCAGCAGGGCCCTGACGGTTCTCAACACGAGTCATGAATCCATGACCTGGGTGCTGCAGTGGACATTCAGAGTCCTTTTTATCTTCATGTGCATCTAGTCACTCCAGCAGCCAAGCTTCCCATGACTGTTTGTTTGTTTGTTTGTTGTTTCTAAACTGAAACCTCAATATTCAGGTTCCACTGCAAGGAGTTCTGTGTGATAAGTGGGTTTGGGGCTGCATTTTGAGAACTCCTCACTAAAAGCCTGGTCACCACTGCATCTAGACCATCACCCCAGTGGAAGAGTCCACTGAAACAGCGCCTGGTGAAAGGGGCAGCCGATTCCGCAGAATCACTTCCTTCAAGTCCAGAGCCAGAGCCCTAGAGCCCTTGGTGAAGGTGATGGCAGTGGTAGGAAGCAGATAAGGCTTCCCTCTTGGAAGCTGTGAAACTACCTCCCATAGGTGCAAAATGCTTCGCCCAAGGCCACACAGCTGGGTAGGCACAGAATCAGATGGGAATAAAGTAGTTCTGTAGCCAGGCCAGCGCTCCTTTTAACCTGACACAGAGGATGAGCTGAGACCTGACAGAAATTGGTGCAAATCACCTGCTCTTCTTTAAAATATCCAGGCATCCCAACTATATTCGGTGCACAAAACCTATGAAGCTAACTTCACACATTACTTTTCACTGTAACATTTTAAACATGAGGAAAGGAAGAAACAAACCAAAATAGAACAAAACAAAAATAAGTCTAGAATGCCATTGTTGCAGCAGGCCTGGGCAGCCACTGCTTCCCCTTCCCTCCCCCATCTCCTGCTGTCCTTTTATGGAGCTGAGGCTGGAGGACAGAGGGGACAGGCCTGGGAGGTAGCCTTGGTCTCCAGGAACACAGGAGTTGTAGTCCTATCATGGTCAGATGGGCCATTGAAAGGGATTCTTCCCTAGGGATAACCACTGTCTGCAATTGGGCCTTTCAGAAAAAACTAGTGAAGTAAGCCTTCAGGCCATGGGACTTGAAAGAAACTTAGTGACGTCTTATTTGTTTCCTTGTATTGCATTTTAATTTATGATGTGCAGATTAGAAAACACAGTAGTATGTCTCCTTCCCTTACCTCTGCAAGGCAGAGCCAATGGCTTCCAACTTTTTAGGATTGTCATATTTGGCACATGTCTTTTTTGTCTTTTGTCATACATTTTTTACAGTTGTTATTATTCTGCATGTGTCAATTGGCATGCTTTCTCTTTATTATAAGTTTTCATAATTAGTATGAATGCTAAAATGACTCAGATTTCTGGCCACTTACCTGATTTCCAGAGGTCTAGTCAAATTCATTATCCACCACAAGGAGAAAAAGAGAAAGAAAGAACAATTCAGAGCCTGCACCAGACACAGCTCCTAGGTCACATGCATGCTCATGGGAAATACACACACAGAGGCCTTCATTCACATCCTCTATGAGTGTCCACAGGTAGAACACAAATATGAGCCATGGGGGACAACCTGCGAGCTTAGTCACAACTCACCAGTTGGACCCTGGGGAACTGGCCTGAGGCTATTGTGGAGGACCACCTGGATGACTGTCCTCAAAAGAGAGCAGTTGTCTCCATTTCGACTAAACCTGGCCCTGTATCCATGTATGTGTATGTACAGAGCTGGCTAGGACTTTTCCTTATCACTTCAATTGGCTTTAAGCAATACAAATTGGTCCAGCCAAGGTGCAAGTGTGTGTAGCTGTGAAGCAAGGCCACAGGGCAGCGCAACCCCACACCCAGAGCCACCAAAAAAACATGTTGGCTCGGATTGAGACTTGAGATAAGAGGCTATGACTTCCTAGGACATAAAAGACTGCATATCTGAGTTGAAGCACCAACCCTAAGCATTAGATACTACCTTACATCGCATGATGCAGAGTACAGCTTCTGCATATCCTTCCCTCCCCGTACTGCAGAGGCGGCCTCAGACCACCTACCTAGCCCAGCTCACGGCACTTATATATTTCCACCCACTCTCACAGCCTATTCCCAAGGCACTCCCCTCATCATGAATTAATAAAACTGTATCTGGCCTTCAGTGGAGGCCTTTGTTCTGGTTGGCCATCACCCTAATTGGACTCGGGGTCCCCTGGGCTCTCCACCATCTTGGACATATCATTGTATCTCTGTGTATACCAGTTGCACTGGAAGTGGATTAATTTGCTAGAGTTTCAGTAAGTCTCCTTTGGGATTACAGATAGAAATCTCTCATACTGAAGTGAGAACCTGGAAGGGCTCTCTATAGTTATCTTGATAAACTATTTTATTCTTCTTACACTTTTGTAAGTGCCAAAAGTCACATTTCCATTATTGTTTTCTTACCTATCTATAAAGGGTTGCCTTAGGTCACATCCTGCTCTCCTCACCACACTTTTTTGTGATTTTTAAAACCTGCACTGATGACATTTTTCTGAAATTCTAAAAAACACTTGTAATCCCAGAACTTGGCAGGATGAGTCAAGAGGATCAGGAGTTTGAACACAGCCTGGAATATGAAACAAGATCTTGTCTCCAAAATAGAAGGAAATACTGTTGTTATTGTTTATACTATTTGTTTATATTGTTCTTTGGCATTTTTCATGCACTTCTAGTTATGTAACCAATTTCGATGGACTTTATTCTTATATATTTCATTCCTTTATAGTAGAAAGCTCCCACTACCCTATAAAAGACTACAGAAGGTCATTACCAAGATCAACTGGGGTTCTCTGGCTGTGTCTGTTCACCGGAATTAATTAATCCAGCCCTGCACCCTCACCTCATAAGACCATAGTTTTCTCTTATTATATTCTCAATTTTCCAATCCCAATTCAGTTGCTTTTTCTTCTTCTCTTAAATCACAAATCCAGCTGATTTAATATTCCATGTATTGATGGGACTAAATCATCCACATATTTATTATTTCATCCCACCCAAATTCTGCACATTACAGAATTCAATGCCTTTCATTGGTTACCAGGTGTTTTTTGGTTTATTTGTTTGTATTTAGGACAGGGTGTACAGGGTCTCACTGCGCAGATTGGACTCATAGTGATCTTCCTGTTTACAGCCTCCTGAGTGCCGGGATAACAGGCATGCACCACCAGGCCCAGTCTCAATGGCTGTCTCAGCATACCCTGGGGGAGCGGCTGGCATGGCAGGCCCGGCCCGGGGATCAAACTCCCAGGCAGGCGCTTTAATCTGCTGAGCTATTTGGACGGCCCTCAGTTACCAGTTTTGTTATCAAAGAACAATTGTTTAAACAGCACAACTGATAATTATAGAAAATGTAACATCCAGAGTTCAAAGGTACTTTGAGAGATGAGATGGCCCAATCGCCCCTCTTCTGAGGGGTGTATAAATGCTGAAGTCCTAGAGCTAGGGTCTCCACTGAATGTTTCATTCTTCACTATTACTTCCTGCCATTTCCTGCTGCAACCCCATGGCTGCCTACAATTGTTAGCCTGAGGGAGTTCTCCCTCATGCCCAACTTCACTACTTGCCTACCTTAATCCATCACAAACGTGATTGCTATCTATCTAGAGCATCTGAGTATGGAATACATTTGGCTGTCTTGCCCTTTCTCACCTATTTTGGGTAATAGATTTTTTGCTAAAATCTCATGCTATCTCTTCTATAAATAAATATCTCTGTGCCTAGGACAACTGTTAAAGAGAGAATAGGTAGAATAGATGCTATTGTTAGCCAGATTGTCCTTGCACCACAGCTAGAGCACAAAATCCTTTTCTTTCATTTTTTTCCCTTTTTCTTCTTCTTCCTCTTCCTCCTCCTCTTCCTCCGCTCCCTCCTCCTCCTCCTTCTTCTTCTTCTTTTGCATTTTTTCTGGACAAGGGATGGCCAGGATGCTTGCCTCTGCTCCAGGATAGCTGAGCTGGAATCACTGAAGGCTCTTTCTTCCATATCCCTGGTGCCTGTGCTGCTGGTTAGATAGAGAAGACTGATGATTCCAGCACCTTTATTTCAGCCTCTCCTGTGGATGTGGCTCCTCACAGTATGGTATCTGGGCCACACAGAGGATGTCCTTCGAGGAAACAACTAGAGTGTCATTTGCAAGACACTCAGTAACCTTGCCTCAGATGTCCGTGGAATGACTGCTGTTTTCTAATTCATGTATGTTTGTGATACAAGAGAGTGGCAGTCACTTTGAGGAACTGGTGTATGCACACATCATACCTTTTATTTTCAATCCTAACTCCCTCTCTCTTCCTACCTCCTCTCCCATCTCACCCCTACCACACCTATACTCAGTCTCCCTTTTTGTTTCCTACCATCTTTTCTGTTTTATTCATTATTCATATTTCAGGCTTCTCATATAAGAGAAGCTGTCTGGTTCGGAGCTTTCTGAAGCAGCTCCTCTTAAGTTATCCTTAATTGTTCACTTATGATCTCTAATGGTCACTTGCTGAAACCCTTGTCCTTAGTTGACTAGGACAGAGGATATATTAGGGAATAAAGAATTTGATGAGAAAAGAAAAAGACACTCTAACTTTTCAGGAGTTTAAAAGTCAAGTTGAGGGGCTTGGGAGATAGCTCAGCTGTCTAAGTGCCTGCCTGGCAAGCACAAGGATCCAGGTTTGATCCCTGGTAGGTACTGCATGCCATGCAGGCCCCAGAACCCTGGGCATGCTATGGCAGATCACTATGAGTCCGAGCTGTGTAGCGAAAACCTGTAACAAATAAATAAATTAAAGATTTTCTAGAAATAATAGTAAAAGTAAAATAGAAGTCCAGTTGAAAAATTCATGTGTGATGTGAATCAAGCAAAAATAAATAAATAACAATTTTAAAAAATAAAATAAATGGGTCAGGGCAATGTATGAGACATGGGTTCAGAGGCAACTTGTGGAACTTGTGATTATCTTGAAGCTTATTTTCAATTGCATCCTTTCTTTGGAACTGTAAAGAGATCCACATGAAATCCTTAATTCTAAAGTAGCTAAGCAAGCCTACTTCAGTTCCACTAGAGTAGAACTGAAATGCTAAGCTCACCATTGCTGGTTTCAATGTTGGAGATGAGCCAGGGCTTGGCCTTTCTCCCCACCTTACCCTTCTGGGTCTTTTCTAGTCCAGTTTGTCAGCACCACATCTGCATGGACCAAGATAGGCGGGAGCCCCAGGATTCTAGAGACTTCCACAATGGGGATGGCAAGACTTCTTGGCAGTACCTTTAAGATATAAATGCTGACAGCACATTCTAGAAACAATACAGTGGAGGAAATGGCAATGGTAATCTTTTATTCCAGCAGTACTGAGGTGAGAGAGGACCAAGGACCAAATGTGAATTACCTGGTGATTCCAGTTGATGAATTTGGCACAGTTTCTGTGAACAACCTAAGAAAAATACTACTTATGAGGACATGCTGTGACATATATGAAAATGCAAAGTTGGAACTCACACCAAGTTGAGCAGTGAGAACCTGAAGAGGATTATGAAAATGTATAGGTATAAATTGAGAGCTGAGGAAGTAAAAAGTGGAAAAACCATCCCAAATGTGGAACACTTTTGGGAAAGGTGTTCTTTGACAAATGGAAAATATTTTTTATTTACTCTGTCACATATAGATACACATATAGATTCATAGGTAGCTAAGGGGTGTGTGTGTGTGTGTGTGTGCGTGTATGTGTGCATGTGTGTGTGTGCAAGTGTGTATATGTGCATATGAATGAGACCAGAACACATGAGTGAGGAAGAGGAGGACTAGACACTGGGCCTGTGTATTACTCACTGCTGGTCACTTCAGAGGTCAAACCCAGCAACAACTTTGGAGTAAGGCCAGAGACAAAACCCATCCATATTTTTTCCTCTCTTCTACCTCTGTACTACTTTATGTAATTTCAACCTGCATTTTTGGGAAGTAAATCCCAGTTCATACTGCTTGGCACAGTTCTGGGGTGGGCAATGTTTTGACTTTTGGGAAAGGTGTTCTTTGACAAATGGAAAATATTTTTGATTTACTCTGCCAATGGCAAGACAGGAAATTCATGTTCCAAAGTGTAGGCTGAAGCATAAAATGTTGGGTCTGCCATATAGCTCGGAGGATTGAAGCGTGCCTGAAATCCCAGCTCTTGGGAGGCTGTAAACAGGCGGATCACTACAAGCCTGATCTAGGAGTGAGACCCTGAACAACCTGTAGACCCTTCCATAAAATACAGGAAAAAAAAAAGGAAACTATAAAATGTGCAGAGTCAGAACTAGCTTGAATAAATTATTGAGACAGGCTAATAATCAGCTTTGAAGAAAGCAGTATTAAACAAGTAATGATTAATAGTAAATGACAATGTGCCCTTCCTAGCAGGAAAAGAAAAGTACTTTTTATTTAAATGGGCCCTTTACAAGTAATTTGTTTTTAAATAAGTAAATGACCTGAACAGACACTTTTCAAAAGCAGAAATGCAAATGGCCAATAAAAACAGTGTTCAGTATTTTAACCATTGGGGAAATGGCAGCAGAAACTTCACTGAGGTTCCACTTACCCCTAGGCGGAATGTCTACTATGAGAAAAACGCTAGCAAGGATTTTTTGGGAAAAAAAATGACCAGTATAGACCGTAGGTGGGAATGTAGTTCATTACAGCCGGACCCTATGGGAAGCAATATGAAAGTTCACAGAATTCTAAAACACAGAACTAACACATGAGCCAAAGGAAATGAAGGTAGAACACGAAATAAATCCCCGTTCGCTCTGTTGTGGCGCTATCACCCGAGCCAGGTACACGTGGGCCCTCACACCCATGGACAGGTGAGTGCGTAGAGAAAATATGGTGCATGTATCCACAAGGGAGCATTACCCATATGGGAGAATCGAACTGCGCCATTGTCAAGAAAATGGGCCAAACTGGAGGGTGAAATTAGTCACAGAAAGACAAGGATCACATTCTTTTGTCTCATATGTTCTTCTCCTCAAAACAGAAGAACCTCAAAGTAGAAGAGGAAGTTTTAGAAAAGGAGGGCGGCGGTTAGGACACGGTTGTCTGTGGATATGATCAAAGCATGACATTCCTGCGTGGAAATGTCAGTGAAACCCATTTGCTTCAACTGACACCCAGGAAACAACAAAAAACGTACCGTTTCCAGCACGACCCCTGGCAGGCAGGTACAGGCACAGGACCCAGCAGGCGGTCGCCCCGCCCACATGACCGCGCCCACATGACCACGCCCACTGCAGCCACGCCCTCACCTGCGCTGGCCTCTGCTCCCCCTCCTGCCAGACGAAGCCGGCGGTCATGGCGCTGAGCAGCAGGTGTGCCAGGCGCTGCTGGCGGTGGCCCTGCAGGTGGCGGCAGCTCAGCAGCGGCATCTGCGGGCGGGAGGGCCCTGTGAGGAGGGGCGGCAGCGGGTGCTGGGGCGGGGGTGTGGGCGGGACGGGGGCGCAGGCGAGGAGCGGGAGGGCGCCGGAGCCTGCACACCTGCCGGGCGCCCGCGGCAGGGAGACTGGGGCGGGCCATGCTGCTCTGAGCGAGCGTGGATGGCGCCCCGAGCCGCCGCGAGACGATGGAGCTACTGCTGCTTCGTTCTGTTCTGTTTGGGGTGGAGCTGGGATGGAGCTCAGATTCACCCGAGCCGGTCACCCCGGCCCTGCGGCCGCAGCGCGAGTCACTCCCGGGCTGGCGGAATCGCGCCTCGCTCCCGCCCCGGGTCCGTCCGGCGACTCCCGCGGTCCTGTCAGCGGCCCGGGCTTGCCGGCCTCCCGGCCGCGGCCGCCCCTGGGGCTGTCACCAGCGAAAGCCCGCGTGGAGCGGGGTCCAGAGCGCGGGTCTGACCCATCGCGCAGGCGGGAGGCGGGCGGAGCTCGCGGCGGGGCCGGGGCTGGAGCAGGAGGCTGCGGCCGGGTTCCGACCCTAGCGGCAGTGCCCGCCGGGGCCGCCAGGGGGCGAGCCTCCCCGCGCGGCCCGGGCTCCTCACCGCCGGGCGAGGGCGGAGCTGCGGGCGGGTCCCAGCCACCGGGACGCCGCGCCCCGCCCAGCGCGGAGCCGTGGTTCTGTGGGAAACTTTCCCGCGGCCGCACGAAAGCAAAAAGAAGAGGAAATAGAAAAAGTAAAAAGAAAGCATGAAGTTAGTTTTTAGCAGTGCATTTTAAGGTCATTATATAACAAAATCAATGAACAGTAACATGAAAAATACGGAAATGCTCTACAATGGCCCTTTCAAAGTCTTCAAGACTGGTAATTTCTGCCACAATTTAAGTGCTGAGTAGCCACAGTTACCTACCGGGCAGCCTTAGCTTAAACTCTCAGCCCAAGAAGAGACTGAGGCAGGAGTCGCCAGCCTGGGCTACAGAGTTAAATAGCAAGTTCCAGGCCAGCCTGAGCTACATAGCGACACCCACTCCCAACATAAATAAATGTAAACAGATACGCCCACGGGAGAAGGTTCCTCCCGCTCAGGAGCATTTTTCTGGAGCCCGCCCACGCGTTCCGGAGATCTTGGCAGCTCAAACATGCAATTAAGAAACAATGAAGGGATTAAAATGGCAAACAAAAACTTGTAGAGGAAGTCTTTTTTTTTTTTTTTTTTTTCTATTTAAACAAAGATGAATAGGGAGTGATTTGTGGTACACCTAACATTTTCTCCCAAGTAATCAACTCAGTTCCGTACTTCCTTTTCCTTATATATTGGAAAGAATATACTTTGATAAATATTTTCATTCTGACTCATTTCAGTGTAAAACATTATTTCTATTTGTGCCCCTAACTGAGCGGGCTTCCTTCCCGATTTTCCGAGCCTGGGTCCTGTCCTCTGGGCGCTTCCGAGGAAGCCCCACGGGGACACAGATGGAGCAGGCCGCTTGGTTGAACTTTGACTCTTCTTTCACCAGCTTTTGTGTATTATATAAATACACAAAATGAATGACTGTCTTTAGCCTCACATTTTGTCAATATCAAAATTCCAGTATTAGAAAGGGATGCCAGTCACCTTATTCTATTGACAGCTCTGATTCTTCCACTAGACTGGGCTGCTGCATAAGAACGATACTTTAAAAAACATACATTATTTTCTAAAGTTATAAATATTAAAGAACATTTTTAAAATATCAAATATAGATCTGTACATGCATTACCTAAACATTTATATTATCATTTGGCATATTGAATAGATATGTAATTAGTTATTATTAACACTTTTTTTAAAAAAGAATAAGAAATGTTGATCACACTTTATGTCTAAGCCAAATTGTTCTGAGTTATTAATGTCTGAGTATATAAATATATAATTACTTGTCCCTTATGACAGGATATTAAAATTCATTAATTAATTATAAAGGATATTGGACTAAAACCAGACATTGCAGGTTTCCATCACAATGAAAAGATGAAAAGATGCTACAGTAACTGAACCCTTGTCCTCCTTGATAATACCCAATTAACATTTTGTCAGTTTCTGGACTCAAGTTGATAAAGAAAGGTAGGTAATCTCTCTCTCTCTCTCTCTCTCTCTCTCTCTCTCTCTCTCTCTCTTTCTCTCTCTCTTTCTCATTGTCTCTGTTTTCTTTCATCTTAGGGACCAAACTCAAGGTTTTGCCCATGTTAATAAAGTGCTCTACAGCTGAACTGAACTCCTAGCTCTGGTTGATTTCCGTGATGACTTTTATGACTACATATTTTCAGGATACCAATATCCTTTTTGATTATTTTTCAGCTTCATATGTGATAATATCTTCTCTCACTTTGAAGTTTTTTCTTTTCTTTTGGGCTATTGTGATGAGTAAATGTACTATTTGAATGGTAACAAGTTTATCCTAGAAACACAGCAATTGCATGTTTTATTAGAGAATTCTTAATTCCAATACAGGAAGACAGTTCTCTAATTTTCCTTCTGAAAGTTCCACAAATTTTGTATTTATGCTTAAGTTCTTAATATACCAGTAATGAATTTAGTTTGTGTGAAGTCACAGATCCACCTTTTGGCTCCACCAGTGCCTTCCTGTTGAGGCCTTTCATCCCTTACTGCTCTGTTATTTTATCTCTGTCATGACTTAAGTTTCTTTAGATACCTTCATCTTTATGTAGCTTCTGTTTTAAATTTTTAGATTCCCTTTGTCCATTGCTGTCCCAATAATGCCACCCAGTCTCAATATTTCTAGTTTATACTATACCCTGATAAGAGGTAAGGCAAACATTTTACCTTGTTATTAAATATATGTTACTTTTCTTGTTCATTTGTTCTATAACATAGAGTAGGGGATTGATGGCAAGATGACTTTATAAGGTTGGCCAGATAGCTCAGTGGGTTAAAGCACCTGCTTAAGCAGATGCAGGGACTGGGTTCAATCCCTTGCCTGCTGTGCTGGCCCCAGCTCCAGGGTGTGCTGCGATGGCGACTAAGACTGGGCATGGTAGCATGCACCTATAATCCCAGTGCTTGGAGTCTGAAAACAGGAAGATCACTGTGAGTCCGATCTGTGTAGTGAGTCCCTGTACTAAATACATTTTAAAAAGAACTTTACAGCTCTTACATGACTATCTCTTCTGTTTTGTTTAAAAGAAATGTGGATATCCGACCAAACCCAGGCCCTGTGAGTGTGGGGGTGAGCTTCTGCTCTGTCCTGCGCCTGCCCGCTGCTCCAAGCCTAGGCCCTCCCCATAAGAGAGGCATTTCCCCGCATTCTGCAGACCTACCACGCCCAGCCAGACCCAGTGCAGTCCACCCTCTGAGTGAGAACTTCTGCCGCACTCTTCGTAGTCCTGCAGAACCACCAAAACACAACACTGCTGAGTGTGTGTGAGAGCTTCTGCGCTCTCTCGCCCCCGCTCCTCATACCCCTCCAGACCCAGCCCAGATCTAGCATACAGGCTTGAGGTAAAACCCTGCAGCCAAAGTCCCTGCAGTGAGACAAGGGTCAAAACCACACAGCTAATCCAGGAACAGATCATCTTACCAGAGGTGTACAGCAGGCCCACCTCCAAGGGCAACAACAGTAAGGAGCTGAGCACAGTAGCGAAATCCAAGCCAGGCACAACTGCATGAACTAGATCTTGGTATATCAGTACCCAAATTTCATTAAGTGATAAGGACATAATTGCACCAAAGCTCTACACCAAAGGGCAGAGGTCAGTGTTAAATGAAATGATAAAGACAAGGACCAAAATGCAATCTCAGGCCTCAAGCCCACCCATAACATGTGCAGAAGCCTCTAACTCAGCTGAAATAAATGAATCAATAGCATCGGAAGTAAATAAACAATAAAAGAAACATAAAGAGGAACTCAGAACAGAATTAATTTCTGGAATTAAAAAAAAGAAAACTCTGAATTTATAGCAGCTGAACTTAAGAATCAAATGCAGAAACATATGAAGGAAACACAATGCCCAAACAGAACAAATGCAGTGGACACTAGTTTAGCTGAAATATGTGAATTAGTAGTGTTGGAAGTAAATAAGCAATTGCAAAAAGGTTTAAAAGAACGCAAAGCAGAATTACTGTCTGAAATGAAAAAAGAAAACTCTAAATTTATAGCACCTGAACTAAAGAATCAAATACAGAAACATAAAGAGGAAACCCAATCTGTAAAATCTCTGCAGTAAAAGAAATAATAACTGCTTCTAAAGAAAACATTGATAAAAAATGCAGGAGATTAAAAAAATGATGAATTCCTTGAATGAGCAATACAGGAAAGAAATAGATCACATGAAGAAGAGTCAAAAAGATATAGAGGACATTAAAATCTCAATCATAAGCCTGAAAAACCGTTTGAGTGAAAGTGAAGACAGAGTTTCAGATCTTGAAGATGCTGGTGCAGCTAGTGAAAAAGTAAGAAAGGATCACTTAAAAACAACGAGGATGCAGGAAAAAATAATTCATCACCTGCAAGATGATGCAAAAATGAACAATATGAGACTAATAGGCATCAATGAGAATGAAGGAGTCAATACAAATTATATAAAAAGAATATGGGCAGAAGTAATAGAAGAAAATTTCCCAAATACGAAGAAACAATCTGATACTCATGTAACCAAAGCATACAGAACTCCAAATAACTTCAATCCAATTAAAAACACACCAAGACATATAATAGTCAAGATCCCAGAAATCCAACACAAAAATATCATAGTGAAAGCCACTAGAGGAAAGAAGCAGATCACATTCAAAGGAAAACACATCAGAATTATGGC